AGTCTCCTCTTCATGCGCCAGGGTTTGTTCCTTAATGTAGCGATCAGCTTCTTCTTCTCCTCTACCTGTTCCTTCAGGGCTGCGATCTCTCCCTCCGACAGCGATTCTTCATCAGAGTCAGAGGAAGAAGAGGAGCTGATAAAGGGAAAGATGTGTCACGTACCGTGGCTTTGACAAGGCGCCACAGGATTGAAACATCAGCAACTTGTGAAAATCCAACACCTCAACTCATCTGTACGTGAAGATCAATTTTACAAAATAGTGGAAGAGCAGAAACTCAGTGAAGCTCAACTCTCAAATTCATGTGAGACAGTTTGTTTTTTATGTTGGTTTGCGGTTTTTTTTTTTAGACGGGCACTTTAAAAAGGTTTCTTTTGCCTTCTATGCTGCACTTTGTCGAAACATTTTGTTTCAAAAAATCTACTCAAATTGAATTATTATATTGAATCATTTTCAATGACAGAATTAAGAGTTATTGTATGGCATTGAATTCTGCTTTTAAAAAACGAAGTTCAGATCTTGTTTCTTGACTCTCAGAACCAGTAGTAAGCTGCTTTTTAAAATGCTGCCAACTCACACCAAACACACCCGGTGAAACAGTAGGAAGATGAGGTTACTCGGGATGTTTTGTCCCTTTACCTTTGTTTTAAGGCGGCAGTAAATAATGGATGAACTAACGAGGATCACACCAGCACCATTACCAGCAGCCAAAAGTCTTTATCACCCAAAGTTGTCTACCGAAACTGAGTTTTGCTTGTTTTGTAAATCCTCTGATAGGGTGATGATATAACCTTTTCTGTTACCTGGAAAGACTGTAAACCCCTGGTCCACTAAATAATTAACCTAACATTTGGTTGTTGAGGCACAGTGTTCCCCATGAACAGCATCTGACTGCTGAAATGTCCCATTAAAAATCAACCAGATGTACTGTACATGCCATTTATTCAGGGAAACGAGTGTGTATTCTGGCTTTTTATAATATTGAATTGAGTTCCTATATAATTTGCAGTGTTTCATCTCCATGAATACATGGCACATACAATAATTTCATATCACTAGTCTGCATGAGACTGCATGGACAAAAGCGCGTATGAGTGTGTGGAGCCTGCAGGTAGGTGAGAGACAGCTCTCAGAGAATACTGCACCTGCTCAACTTCCCATTCTTCCTTTTCTTGTCCTTCTCATCGTCTTTATCCTTCCCTTGTTTCCCTTTAACATTTCCCTTCTTCTCCTTGTTCTGCTCCTCTTTCTCCTTCTTGGACACCGTTCTCCCTCCTCTTTTCCTCTTCTCTCGGTCGTCTTCGCTCTCCTCATCGCTCTCCTCCTTTGCGGCTCTCCTCCTGGAGGCTTTGGATCCTTTGCTTTTCACACTCCTTTTGTCTTCCTCGTCATCTTCATCACTGTCTCTGGGCCTGGCCTTCTTCCTCCGTCCTCTTTTCCGTGGCTCCTCGTCTTCATCCTCCTCATCCTCCTCATCGTCACTGACCTGTTTGGCTCTACGTTGTGGCCTGGCTCTTCTGTTTTTACTTCTCCTCCTGGCCTCATCTGAGACACACATGTATGCATTTTTTACACAAATAGCTTTATCCAGTGACAACACAATTTATATTCCCAACTTTAATTTACATCATCACACCATCGGATTGTGACAAATCTTCAAGATATAGACATTTCCTGCACAACTTAACTGTACCTCTGATAAAAATGAAGATTGTCTCACAAAACTCACCTTCACTCCCACTATCTAACACAGCATCGACCTCCATCCCAACTGGAGCATGTGAACAAAAACACACAAACATAAAATCAGCTGATCAATCTCAAAAAGGACTTTTTTTTCAGTCATTATCAGTATAATGAAAAAGGGGGAATATTTAAAGCTGAAAAATTGACAGACGTAGAAAATATTTGAAAAAAAAAAATCTTCTCACCATCTTCAACCTTAACTGCAGCATCGTTTTTTCTTTTTGGAGGCATTCTGCTGGGGTACTTTTAGTTATCTGTGTGCTCCCTTTGTCCAGTTAGACCTCGTCCGCTCACTTCAGACTCTGCCTCAGCTCCATCCATGAGTCACTCACTGATGCACCTGTGACGGTACTGTGTCAAAAAGCCAGGATACACACACACACACACACACACATACACACACGTAGGCACAGGTGTGTCTGTGTTTAGGCTGTTCAAAGCCCAGGCTCCTTGACAACCGTCAAAGACACACAGTCCATTAGATGATAATCAGGAGCCCGGGGAGAAAACAGAGCCAGACAATGGACTTGTCAATCAAAATGCTAATTGATATTTGATTAGAGCAACAACAGCACACATGCAGTCCACATTTAAATACAACTTGTATTATTGTCATATACTATATGTGATTATACAACACCACAAACTGATGGTTGAACATTTGCCATCATTCAGTTGTGACCCAGAAAGGAGACACCGGGGCAAATGTAGACATAAAGGTCAGGTCTCATTAAAGTTTGATGGAAGCTTAAGTAATCCTGAGTGAAAAGAGAAACAACTCACTGCATTTAAATACTGTACCCGGTGTCCTGTGTGACTCTGAACTCTGGACTTACTGTACTCCAATGAATAAGGGATTTAAAATAAAATGTTTTATTTAAGAGAGAAGTCAGACGATTTTACAAGCTCTTTAATAAAGGATATGGTCACATTTTTTTCAAGTCTTATCATAAAACAATATTGCCATGCTCATATGTACATTGAAAAAGTAACTGGTCAGTGCAATTATTGCTCCTGTTTTCAAAGCATTTCCAATATAAATCCACAGTCATAGTCCTGTTTATAAAAAACAATAATCCCAAGTTCAGCTGAAGCTAAAATATGAGTTAGTCAAACTAAGCGGTTTGATATAAGATATAATCTTTTTGTTTAAGATTCTGTCTTTGTGATACTGGTGTTACTGTCTTCGCTCAACGAGGAAACAAATAGGACTGTACGTCTGAAAAATACCCACTTGATCTCAGACTTGATTATTGGCCTTGTCTTTTGAATCCGGTTTTGCCTTTGTTTTAAGACAGACTTAATCAAATGTGAACCTGTCTGTCATTAATAGCTTTTATAGCACAACAGTAAAAGGAGGTGAAAGTGAGGCCTGATGGATGAACGGTGCAGCCTGAATTGTCCACATTGCATGTTTCAAACACTAAGATGCAGGTACAACCTGTGTGGTTATGGTCAAATGTCAGATCTGACCTTTTGAATAATGCAGGAGGAAACAGGAGACTCTGCTGCTATTCAGCTAACACACAGAGGAACACTCTTCCGGGGTTATATGAATGCTGGCTTGAAGGCTTGTACCTGAGAGACAAGTTAAGTCCTCGGGGTCGGAGCCTTTCATGTCTTCCTCGTCCAGCTCCTCCTCTTGCTCCTCCTCCTGATTGTCCCCCTCCACTTCCAGTAACCATTCAAATGCGTCCTTCTCACTATACTGTACTTAGTCTCAGAGAAGGCCTAGCTGCGTTTACTCTTCGGATCCATTAACTAAAAAGGGTCTAACTTTCCACCAGTTCACATCGAGGCTCAGCGCCAACCTTTGCTCTCCAAAGCAAAACTGGACACCATCCAAGCTGTCAAATCACTGTTGATCAATGTCTCACTCTTCATTACTGTTAGTGAATACAGCGGACATTGAGATATCCGGTAATGTGCAACCTGTCATGGCTCGGTTTTCTGCCACATTGTACCAGCATGGAGCGAGCCTGGGACAGGGCCAAAACACAGCTCCAGTAGGAGGGTGAAACAGCGGGCATGTGGGGGTTGGTATTACCTGGACAAATAATAGCCAAGCGGATTAGAGAGTCAGAGTCTCCAGTATACAGAGAAGACGGAGGGTTTACTTGACTCCTTATCAAAGTCTTCATTGAATAATGTGATTGACACTCCTTGGCTCAAGACGAAAGAATAAAGCATAGGGACTTACTTCATCCTCTGGATCTCAAATAACTGCAGAATTAATACTTAATGTTAACTTGCCATGAATTGATCATGAGCGTCAATGGAAGTGGGTTTGATTGACACTGTGATTTAATGTCAGTTGCATTATGAGCTCGTTGGCTTGTTGTCTTAAATGGTTTAAGACACAGACAGCATCCCATAGACCTTAAAATTCAATTAAATCTGTACAGGGCAAGACTTTCAATGACTGTCAATATGTAGAATTTCAGGTTAATAAAGTTTAACTAATGGGACAACACTGTTATTTTCAGATTTGACTGACATGTGAGCTGCAGAGCAGAACCAGCTCCTGGGACACTGTATATGATCATGCAGTTATCAGATTAGCAGAAGTCTGATATCCATGTTAAATGATGCGAAATAAGACCACAATCAAGAGATTCACACTAACCACTCAAATCTAAATGTTTTGCACAGGTTATATATGTTCTCATTTGTGCAAAATAATCTGACACAATCTGAGTGTGTTTTCCAAATTCAGAGCTTACTCAGTGTGTCAAATGTATAATATACGGCTGAAAAGCAGATTTAAGTTGAGTGTGTAAGTCCAGCCAGAGATGCATACTGATCTATTTAAGCCTAGCTAGATAGGTTAAACGGCCCCAATGTCTAATGAATTGTTTAATACTTTGGTCCAGTTACAGGTCCAGGCCCGGCTGTGCTCAATATCTGCGAGGCCAAGAGGAAAATATATGTCATTGTGGTTAAAATGAGTTTTGAATATAACTGAACTCATTTTTTAAGGAGGTGGACAGAGGTTAACAACTAAAGTTAAAAGGTGGTTATTGCATGTGACGTCATATTTACATCTTTTAAGACAAAAGGTTCATCAGAAATAAATTAATGCAATTTCAAAAAACCAACATCAGGACAGGACCATTATCATCTTATTCAAATTTCAGATTAATATTGCAGATTTAATTTACTCATTTATTGATTAGTGGTTTCAAAAGACATTGACAGATGTAAGAATTGCTAAGTAACACTTAACATGATATTCTGCTTTTGTTAATGTCTATCTAAACAAAGGAACAACTGCTACTGTAATTCGAAATGCTCACAATGTCTTTTTTATCATGAATGCGCAGTTTTTAAAAAAAAAAAAGTTTCAAGTCAGTCATTCTCACTACTCTCGGTTCACAGTACATCTAAACATCAGGTTCTCAGTAAAGTGCTTTGTTTTGAGTCTCTTTTGCTAACATGCTGTTCTTCACTCCCTCAGTGTCGCTGCAGGCTCGGCACCCTGTACATCCTGGGTTCACTTTGCCGAGAGAAACCGGGCAGGTACCCGGGAGCCCTGTGGTTGCCTTGGTGATAATTCCTGGTGACGGGGGCTCTGGTGGCCGGGGGCTGGTGTTCTTGGTCTCCAGCAGGAGGAGGATGGTCGCGTCCATTCTTACCATGATACAGCTTCTGATGACTGCCATGGTTTTCTTCCTCATCGGCTGAAAGAGAAGGTAGAAATCGGAGAGATGAATCAGATGTGGGCAGAAAATGACAACACGGATTATTAACATTCAGTAGAAAATCAACTGGATAACATTTAACTGTTGTTGGAGGACAGCTTTACTGAAAACACTTGTAGCTGTAAGCACCAGCTTTTTCTCGGATACCGAGATACCAAATTTGTTATGTGGAGGAAGAATGAGACCCATCTTTTAATCCTGTGGTAAAAATCCTTTTCATTGTGTTTCATTTTCATTTAGAACTGAACAGTCTCACTCTCTTGGTCTTGTAGTGAAGCGTTGTTGTTTTGTTGCCCTGCATCCTGTGATGCTGCTTTTCTGGCCTCCTCTAGATCCATCTGTGCCTTCAGTGCTGCTCGTTTGTTCTTCTTCTTGTTTTCCTCATTTTGCTTGAAAAGGAAACACGAGCAATTGTGAGTTTCACAACAGAGAAAGAGGCAAAAGGAAATGTAAAAATCAGCTCTTGGATGAAACGAACATCTTCTGCATTTGACAACACAACGACGAGTGTTAAGTATCGAACCCTTTTGTTCGTGGGCACATATGAACTGTTACTCTGCTGCTCTCTGCTGGAGTGATGAAACTAATACAATTACAGTGGTCACAGTCAGACACCTCAGGCGGTCTGTTTGTGCACCTACACACTGTTGGGAAGTTTTGAAGCTGAGAAAAACCGTTGGAAAAGCTAATGTGGACGACCAACAAATAACAAACATGAACATTCCTGAGAATTACTGACCTTTACTTGCCTAGAAATTCAATATAATATAGTATATAAATATGAGTGATAGAGTACTAGGACAAACAAAATGTCAGTTTACCGCTTGTAGTTTTTTCTTCAGTTCCACATTTGCTTCTTTGTAACTTTTGGATGTGGATTGTAAGTAATAGATGGCTAGTCTGAAAAATAAAATAACAGATTATTATCATCAAATAACCTTAAACGTTACCACTAAAATGAAGTTATGACAGCAATGCAAAATATCTTAAACTGTGTAAAAAATATATATTGGTGCAGTGTTTGCTGACTCACACCATAAGCAGTATGAAGGGCAGCACCAGTCCAGGGTTAGAGGCGTAGCTGAACACTTTACTAAACCAGGCAGGGAAGTCTGACTCCAGCGTCTCATGGATCACATCAAACATACGTTTTTTCCCACTAAGGAGAAGAGAATGATTATGACAGAAAGTCAACTAATTAAATTGTAAAAGCCAGATCCCCTGAACGAGTGTCATTACCTGAAGGGTCCACAGTCAAAAGAAGGAGGAATGGTGACGATGGTGTAGATGGCAGGCAGAGTGGACAGGAAGAGGATGACCAGCAACATGGCCATGTAAAAGTTGTTGGAGCCAGAGGCCTTGAAGACTCTTTCCTGCGGCACATTACAGCACATCACGGCCCAGCATTGCAGGTACATGGACACATGGAGCCGGAGGACATTCAGGGCAGGTAGGCAGGGGGCATAGAAAGCACCCATCCTGGAGCAAACAGAAAAGAGGGAGAGGAGGACAGGCTGAAGGTGCTGCTCTTCATCACTAGTTAGTTTTACATTATACCACTGCAGCTAGTTGTAAATAATAACACAAAAATTATCAAATCAAACCAGTGTTGTTTTCTTACCATATCATTCCTTGATTGAAGATCAGGCCCAGGACGTTCCCACTGACATCAAACTCAGAGTAGGATGGCTATCACAAACAACACAGGAAAGACAACAAGACCAGGTCAAAACTTAGTAAATGGCTGGACTGCATTGTCGGCTATTTGCATCCTGCCCAGTGCCACCCAAAGTCCGCCCTTTATCTGTTCCCTCCTCTCCTACTCTCTGTGCTCACATATACAGTATTTTAATACAACTGAATTTCCAAAAAAACTGTTCTAATTTACATGTTTTTCTGTTTCTGTTGTCAGACAGTGGGACAATTATGAAATAGTGACTGAAACGTGGCCCATTAAGACTACCTGTTAACGCCCAAGCCATTAACAAGCTGCTGCTCTGCTGCTGCTAAAATCCTGATTTTATGACAGTGATTTTGTCTGACAAAATCACCATGTCCTCATCCACACAGTCTTGCTATTGTTACCAGTGACCGTAGTTATGTCAATATATTTTTTTGAGCATCCCAGTGCAATAGCATGTGATCTGTCTTTGGCAGAAATAAAATACAATACAATACATTGGCAAAAGGCGAAGCAAACCTGGAGTGTTTTGTGTTCACAATGCACATGTTGAAGGAACCGCTACACAGACTTGAAATGCACCTTGAGAGGTGGGCACAGTGAACTGATCTGAGGCCAAACTGAGACCACCTCAGTTCGGTCTAAATGCACTATGTTGGCAACACTGCAGGCTGTATACACCCCCCTAACAGAAACTAACTTATTTATTATTTTTATTATTTATTATTTGAAAGAGCAACAGCCAATGGGGTAACTCCAACTCAGTCATGTTACACTTGGCTGTCCAATGGTGGAATTACGATCACTCATCAGTCAGCAACATTCACAATTATAGGGCTGGTCTAGCCAAAAATAAATCTGCTCTGACTCATATTCTCATAGACAGTATTTCTATTCACCTCTGGAAAAACAGGCACATCTTTGATGTGTAATAACAAATAAATTATACACTGTTGAATTTCAGCGGCACTGTCACTGTGATCAGTTAGAAAAGATGACTCACGAATCCGGCCTCCAGGTCCCAGCACCAGCAGTAGTTGAGAAAACGAACAAGCACAGCTCTCAGGAAATCACCAATCAGCAGCGTGATGTAGGTTGTCATGGTATCAGATATGATCAGCCTGACAAACTCCTGCATAGGATGAAGCAATCATATATATAATATAGTATAATATCTATATATAAATATTTGATAACAATAACACATTCTAATTATATGGATAATTTAAAAGAAAGAATAATTTTTTTCCATGTTTGCATTATGATGATCATATAAGGTTATACTTTTTATTTACTACTTTATCATTGAGTATATTTCTCAATATTTAACATGTATGGTTTGTTTACATTTATTGTGTATGGGTTTTCTAAGCATATGTAGCTATTTGTCCTACTCAATGTAAAATATACTGTGTTTTATCTTTAACCCATTGTATTTTTTTGCACTTATTATCAAAGATTTCTAAAAGCAACATAATGTGATCAGAACACATTTCTATTAGAAATCATTGTTAAATACAGTTTGGTTTGATTATGGTGTCAAGCAATGCAGTGCAGTAATATTGTAATGAAAAGCAGCATTATGAAATAAAATAGTCGAATGAATAGAATAAAATGCCCTTGTGAAATGTAAACTGACTTTGCTAAAAGGAGATTTTATATTCCACATTTTGTTCATTCATATGATTATTTCATAAGCAGTCACTTTGAGTATCCACAACTTTATGATGCATCAACAATTACGTCATGCAGTTATATAATGGTTTGCAAACACATGCACACTGACCTGCCCCACCATGGTCTCCCAGCAGGGCCCTCTGGGTACATCAGCAGGTTGGATAGTGATGGGCGGGGCAGTGCTGTTTTCTGATAGTGTGCCATTGTAAAGACTGGCTTCCCACATGGTTATATTAAACTTTATGATCTTTTCCTCCTCTCTCTGAGACATACACACACACACACACACACACACACACACACGCTTGATATTGATTATAATGTAACATTACAAAAGCATCTCACACATCTACTCACACTAGCTCTCACTTTGAGGTTGATCTCATCCATGAGTGCAATGATAAAAGTGTAGAGATTTCCCAAGAAGAGGGCAAAGATACGACCCAGCTGCCACTGCAGAGCGACACGAGGGTGGTAGTTCTCCAGGGTGCTGATGACGTCAAAGAGCATGGGGCAGAACATCCCCAGTAATGACATGACCATGTTTACCTGAGGAACACATGTGTCTTTAGACTCAAGACAGCTCATATCACACGTGAGGACAATGGAGTGTAGCCTATTTTTTTTTACCTAGTATGCAATGCCAGTCTGTTACTTAACACAGTAACTGTGTCCCAAACCTGTACTAAATACTAAGTCTAAGCAGCTTTAGAGTAAGTAGTGTATTCATATTGATAAAGTGACAAAATGAGTCAACAAAAAGCTTAGATTTTTGAGAATACTATTCCTCCACAAAGTAATGCACAAAGGAAAGAGGGAAGCTGCTATTCTTGAAATGAGAATGTGGTGCAAATGCTTTAACCCCATATATCATACCGCTCTACATAAAGAACTTGTTCAACAAGTCTTGCCTGCCACTAAAATGATCCACATACTTTTCCCCTCTGTATTCTGTCTCTTTGATTCCCCATGTCTCCATCTCTCATTTCTCATTTCTACCTCATTCCTTTCCCACCAGGTGTGATTCTCCAGTCCGTCTAGGGCAAACTTCTGAGAGCGACGCACTACAAAGTAGATGAGGTATCCACTTCCTGCTAAGCAGCACAAGACCAAGAAGTTGGCGAGCACTCGCAGAAAGCGAGTCAAATGGATGTTGTCATCCTTTCGGCTCTCTTGCTCCTCTAAGATTGCCTCCTGGAGAGGTAAAAGGAGGGTTATACAGGGTACAGATAACTGTATAATAAGTGGTGTCACTTAGCTACTATATTGGAGCACCAGTGGTCATCAGTACTGACCTTGAAACAGGTGGTGATGGAGGCAAACTTATTGTCTGCAGTTTCAGGGTTTCCTATCAGATAGTCCCAACTGGTGAACATCTTCCAGCTGAAGTTAAAGCTGTTATCATCTCCAACCCCTGACTCATTTGCATTACGGGCCATCCTTTAACCAGAAATAGTCACAGATTCAGTAGAATGTTGTGCCTCAAAGACATTAATTAGTTCTTTGTAGTCATAATAGACTCACGTTCTTATGACCACCATATAGCTATAGGCCACTGTTCCCACACCAACCAGGAAGTACGACAGAGGCATACGGAACTTAAGCCAGCCAATGGCTCGCTGGTTGTTGTAGTAACCATAGAAGAGGACTGAATACTGAGCGTAACCCTGTGGATACAAATCATAGTTGGAGCACAGTCATAGATTCTCATATTTGTAGGTGTTGGTAGCACTTAGCAATTTTCTTCCACAACTTTGGGCAACAGTACATCTTCATTTAAAAACTGTAGCAAATGAAAATATAATGTTATTTAAAGTGGGTGAGGTGAGCATGACATATGTTGTCAACTGACCCCACAGTCCCATAAGACAGCAAAGTCCATGGCACTGGCCTCCTCAGCCCTGGGGACAGTCTTTCTTGGGATGCTGCCATAGGGCCTCCCCATCAATGCCTGTAATAATAATAAGAAGAAGAAGAAAGTCAAACATTTAATATACTCAAAGCAGTATTTTAGGGCAACCAAACTCCGCCATACCTCAGGCACCATAACCAGGCCAAAGGTCAGACCAAACAAGATCATGTTGATGCCATACATCCACCTCAGGAAGATAAAGTAAGAGGCAACTGAGGAGCCAAAATGACCTGAAGGGCGGAGGGAATAAATATGAGGATGATCATTACACTAATACTCAACTCTTCAAGCAGAGAAACTAAATGTGAGGCCTGCAAAACATGTAAACTATACTATAGGTGCATTTACTAGAAAACCATACATACTCTATGTTAATGGCTTGCATAGTTTTATTATACTCATCTACTTATAATAAGTACATTGGAAAAAAGATAAAACAAGCCTACTTTCAATCTCCTTTATTTTCATCTCCCAGGGAATGCAGGCCGTTTTGAAGTTTTCAAAGTCCCGTTGGAACTTCATCCATTTCTAATAAAAATAAATAAACGAGATGCATAAATAAAAATGCATCATATATTCCTTTACATTTAGATGATATTCTAAATAAGTCGAGGTCAGTGACTCCTTGCCTTTGTCATCATGACCTTGTAAGCATAGAGCTTCCTGCCTTTCCCTTTCCCCAGAGCTCCCTCATATTTCTCCACAAATTCCTGAGACTCCCTGTAACAAAGCAGGCATCTGATTAAATGATTTAGAGGTGACACTTTGAATTGCAGCTGAGAATTCAGGGGAATCTGATCACTTCAGGAACCTACTTTTATCAATGAGAAAACAAAATACCGTAAAGTGACGAGTTTCTTTTTCATTGGCCAGGGTTTCCCCCTCAGACTTTGGATCAGTTTCTTCCTCTCGTCCACTGCCTCCTTCAGCTTCTCCAGCTCCTCTGGTGACAGAGACTCTGGCCTCACCTCTTTCTCCTCATTGTCCTCCTCTTCATCATCTTCATTGTCTACCTCACTCGTCTCCTGCTCTGAACTGAGGCATAGAAGAGTAGTGTGTTTAATGTCTATGCAGCTTTCTTGTGAGCGATAGGACAGTTTTCCTCTGTAAGAAACTACAGATTTGTGAGATAACGCTTTACCTTGATTCAACTACTTTCTTGTGCTTTTTCTTCTTCACGTCCTGCTTTTTGTCCTTCACTGTACGTTTCCCTCCATCATCTTCTTTCTCTTCTTCTTTTTTGGCACGTTCGTGTTTCTTTTTTCCCTTGGCAATTCTTTCTTCAGCTTCTCCCTCCCCCTCCTCAGTTTTTCTTGTTTTTTCATTTTTGATATTCTTCCCTGTTTTTGCCATCTTACCTCTTTTTATTTTGACCTCCTGCTCCTCCTCGTCCCTCTCTCTTCCTCTTGTTTCTTGATCATTCTTTGTTTTCCTTCTCCTGCCCCTTTCTCTTTTCTCCAGCCTGGCCTGTAATTCCTCTTCCCCTTCCCCTGCTTCTTTCGATGCTCCTTTCCTCCTCCCATTCCCCCTCCTCCTTTTCTCTCTATCACCATCCCTTCTTTTTCTTCTGTGTCTTTCCTGCTCGTGTTCCTCATGAAAAGTGGAAACCTCATCTTCGTCACCTGCAGTAAAAAATGTAGACACTGTGTTTATTCAGTGATAGAATAAGCATTAACATGCTCCAGAGATTATTCACACTCACTCACACATTCACATCATTCTCTCTGTATCCTACAATATTACGAAGTTGTTCCCTACTCAATTAAACCATCTCATTTTCTCTGTCACTGAAATGTTTTTATCCAGGTGTGATAATCCTGTGGTAATTATGGACACAGGTCATGACAGAAGGGCAAATAGGAATATGCAAATCATACAGGACTGGGTATGAAAAAGAAAAGACCTCCAGTGGATGAACTGGTAGAGCAGCGGTGACAGATGGGTTTAATGGTGGCAGCAGAGACAGTGGAGCTTCTCGGAGAAATTAAGGAATAAAATAATAAAGACAAAAAGGGACATTTGGAAAGAGACTCCTCTGCCTCTCCAGTGCTCTGTAAAGTAGAAACAGTCTGAACCACTTGATGCGCCAGTGATTAATGTTATGATATAAGAGACGACACCCACCTGCAAACTCCAGCCCAACGTCAACTGTGGAACAGACATAGTTTCAGTGTAAAAATGAAAAATGAAAAATTCTTCAAATTTGAAAAGGCTTTTTGGGAGGATTCTGACTCCATGAATATACTAATGAGCTAAATGTGTTTGTAACCAATTCGATTTGATGAGTCAAGTGAAGGATCAATTGGACATTTATGGAGAACCAGAGAATTATAAGCTGATCTGAGGTCAGCACTGATGTAATCATCAAAGAAGAAGAGTTTATTCATTATAATTGACAATGCTTTCACATTGGATGCTTTTGTTTTATTTTACACATAGTTGTATTGCAATGTTTCTTACATCATATTTCTGTAAGGTAATGTGTGACTTTGTTTTGAACTTTGTGCTGTTCAACAAAAGCTTATTATTAATGTTGGTGTTATTAGTATTTTTAAAATGATAAGATATACTGCATCTAATCACCTCCAATGGCGTAACCAACCTCTGCCTGCTTTGATGACCTCAGCGTTAAAAATCCAGTCCATTTTTTATATCCTCAACACAACCCTGACCCCTTTCACTGGCAGAGCTTATCCTACCTTATTGTGTACCTGCCACTATTGTCCTGCCTTAAAGGGGGATGAAGAGGACAACAGAAAGGACCACTGACAGACTGAACAGATATTTATGTAGTCGGCCCTTTGATGTGTGTCCTTAGTGTAACCGGAGTGGCCAGCACACAGGTCATTACGGCCATGTGCAGCAGAGGGACACAAAAGAGACAAACAATGGTCTAATGAAGGGAGACGGGGTGGCTAAGCCCAAAAGGATGGGGGAGACAGCCAGAGGCCAGAGGCCAGCTCCCAAATATGCAGCGGAGTGAGTGGGATGGAAGAAAGTAGTGTATAAATATGTTTGTGGTGGCGGATGCTGGCCTTCCTTTGATCATAAACTTTGATCAGCTGTAGTATTTTCACTTGTATGTTATACAAATGAACTTCAGGCTCCATTAAACTCAATAAAAAGGGACAGTTTTGTCCAAAAATAGGTTCAAAACAATTATCACAACTACATCATAAACACACTGCAAAGACAGAGACCAAAAGGCCTTTCTTTATTCAAAGAATCAGTAATATTTTCTCCTAATGAACATGTAGCCATAAACTAAAAATTGAAAATAATTTATGGCAGATTATGGCAAGTAAATCTATTGCGCTTTTATCTAAACAGGCACAAGAATCTATGAACAACATACCTGTGCCATAAAATGTGAAAACCAGAATAGCAATTTGGTAATGAAGATATAAAGATGGTCACGGTCTTACTGTCATTCTCAGAGGTGATCAGACTGTCTCCTCGAGGCATCTTCCTGTCATGGTCCTGTATCTCCTACAACAGTCGTCCCAGCATCCAGTGGAGGTGAGGTGATGTGAGGTGGACGAAGCAGCAGGGTTTGAGTGGTCTCTCTCCTACTGCATCTTTACAGGAAGGGATGCAGTGTGTGTGTGTGTGTGTGTGTGTGTGTGTGTGTGTGTGTGTGTGTGTGTGTGTGTGTGTGTGTGTGTGTGTGTGTGTGTGTGTGGAGGGGCTGGTACATGATGAGTAAGTCGCATGAGAAGTTTACTTTTTCCTCGCCACCCATCGACCCGAAACAGGGACAATGACAGCATGGAAACCCTAGAGCCACGCAATTTCACTAGCGATCAATTATTCAAAACAGTTATGACTGCCTTTATGCAGCTGTGTGTGTGTTTTGTGAATGTTTATGAGTGTGCGTATATGTGTGTGTGTGTGTGTGTGTGTGTGTGTGTGTGTGTGTGTGTGTGTGTCTTTGAGTGTGTATGTGTGTGTGTATAAGACAAAAACATGAGGGTCATGAGAGCAGTAGGCCTAAGTGAGGGACATGGCTTTTTTGTTTTCATTGTAGCATAACAGATGACTCAGCTGCCAATTTTGTTTATTCACATACCCATCAGTTTCGATATACTCACTCACATCCTCATCATTTCTAAATGAGTACCTTTGGCTAAAAGTAGTTATATGAATCTATGTAAAGCCACAGTGAAGAGGTGAATAAAATGGGACCATGATACCAATACTTGACCAACTGTTTCTTTAAATTCACATTTCATTTTTTCTCTCTTTCAATAAGTGTCTCACAAGCTTGTGTAAAAATGACTAATAGAACAGCATCATTCAGTCTGTTACTTTATCCTAATTATTTATGTGTGAGTTGTGCAGATGTTTTGGTATATAAAGCCTTTCCTCTGTCACTGTCAGATGAAACTAAAATATAGACATTTTGCAACGTGGTGAAGAATATGAAAACAGCTACAGATGTCTCAGTCTTGTGTGATTGAGATGGTTTCTGGACTAATTCAGCCATATAGCACATGTAAATGTGTATGTTTGTGTGCATGCCTTTACAATTATTTTGTGGTGAAAAAAATCTTTCACACTAAGGTGACTCAGTGAAATGTAAACTATTACATTTTAGGGTTGATATATATATGTTTTGGTTTTTTTTCTTGTTTTTTTTTGGTTACCTCTAGGGGTAAGGTTAGTGTAAAGTTTGGGCTTGCTTATGCATTGTACTTTTCACTTAGAAGAATGTTGTATGTTGTTGCATTATTGTATTAATTCCTTGGAGACTTACAACAACCTGAACCACTTTCTCTCAAGGTTTTGGGGAGTTTGACAAAAGAGATAAAATGTGATGTTTACTGTAAGAAGCCGAACAAACCATGTGACCTTTTGAAATATCAGAGTTAATGTAGCATGAGTATGGTGGAGTATGGTGTCATCCTGACATGACTGAACAAGTGAGTTCAACCTGCTGTGCATAAAGCTACAGCATGTAAGATGACGGCAAAGAGGTGAGCTCCAAGCTAATTAACCTGTAGAGGGCAGTGTTGCTCTATACTGTAATGTGTAGGAAGCAACACCTCTGCCTGGTAGAGATGATTTTTATCTTTAACTTGTGCTTGCACGTGCAGAGACAGCCCGAAGCCTGACAGACAAATAAGCATGTTTGTGTACACGCAGATCAACTCACGCGTGTTGTGGAGGAGAGAGAGTAGGAGAGAGATCAGTTTCCCAGTGCTAAAGTTAGCTGCAGCTACGAGGAATCATTGAGCAGAGAGGCGACGGAGGACATCAAGGCCACTTGAGTAGAGAGTAGAATCAAAACATACTGCAACAACTGCAAGATGAATCTGACTGTAAATGGACACATCACTGCAGTGCAGCTGATTATAAATTACAGGCCACCAAACTGTAAGAGGAAGCAACAGGAGATTTCTGTCATAAAACTGATACACATAAAACTGGGTACAATGACGCAATAATACAAATTTACCAAATTTTGTTATGTCTGAAGTCAGGATGATCCAGTTTTTGTTTGAACTACTTTCTACTGCAAAAAATAGTCCCTGGACAAACTATCCATGTGGTGAGATACCACCCTTTAAGTTTGGGTGATCAGACAGAGCTTTTAAGGAGCAGGATTTGTACAGGTTATGTGGCCTTATTGGCACATACAATGTTTTAATGCAAAGTTTTTTAAAGTCAAATTTTGAGAAGCTGAGTATGCGCACCTATGTGACTACATATTTGGAACACGTAATGCCTTTAAATTAATGCATTTTTATAATTTATATACAGAACAGGGAATCAGAATGGGAAATATTCATGAGAAAAAGAGGATTATCGCAATCATGGAGTAAAACTGACAAACTGCTCAATCAAATCTAATCAAAAGTTCACATGTGTCTGTTCGTCTTGTCTCAGTCTGTTCTGATAAGTGTGCCTTTTTTGTTGAAACACTAAAATCATTTGGAGCTATCAGTGTGCAAGGGGTTAGACAGTGATTCATCCATCTGTTGGCATGATAAAAGGCTAGTGAGGCCTGCAAAGTGCCTGCATGTACCGTATGAGTCAAAGAGCAGCTCTGCAACAGATGATCAGTCTGTCACCAAGCTCCCTGCCCCTCTCATGCAGGTCACAGAGGCAGGAAAAACAGCACAGACACAGAGGAAGTCTGTCGAATGAGGTCTAAAGGCATTGTGCTGTACCTTGCTAAAAATAAATGTCAGACGTTAACAGAGAAAAACATACTGTATCAGAAGGGTTGTGGGTTATCATGAATAACAATCTGCAAACATTTTTTCCAAAGTCAAAGTGCAACACAAAAGACAAAAAAAATGCACAACCACTGTCTGTATGACTGCCTCTTCCTGCCCCTCTCAGCTGAT